CAGAACGGATGTTCACTGCACATAAACCAGTTTGAAAATGACTGAAACCAGACTGAAATAAACCTGGTCGAATGTAGTATCAGACTTAACTGATTTGGGTCAAAATGGTTTATGCAATGTCTATCCCAAACCTTTTGCTGGTCTAAGCTAAACCAGATGCCGCCAGCATCCAGGCATGCTCTCTGGCCTGGGCAGGTCTCTCTGCTGGTGCCTCCCCTCTGCTCCCTGGCTGGAGCTCCAGCAGAGATTCACATGCACAGCAGGGTCTGCTGGCTTCCCTGTGCCCCCCTCCCCGCCCCCACCACCACTCACTATTTAAACAGAGATCCCTTCCTCCCCTCTCCCACAACACCGACTGTAGCCAGCATGTGGTATGCTAGCTAATGCCGTATAATACAGATAGGACAATGTCCACTTAGGTCTTTTTGGAGGTAATCAACAGCTCAGATGATAATGTCCCTACATTCCTTCCTTTGGAAATGGCAGACAAATTTATTTGGGTAAATCTGATTAACAGTTATTACACCAACTAAACAGTTGCAAAAAAAATACTTAGCAAGCTTTTGGGTTTCTGAGGAAACATCTGCAGTTGGTGTGTGTTCTTCTTGGATGGAATGAATAGTAAAGAGGCCAAGAGGCTGGTATGCATTTTCCTTTGGAAAAAGCTGTTTAAGAAGAGCTTGTAATTAGTGAGGCTTTCTTTTCTGTTGGAGTTTTAAATGCTGATAACAGAACTGACAAATGGTCTGTTATTAAGGGCGGGGGTGGGGAGGGCTTCCTAATCAAAGTGTTCTGCCAGGGCCTGGCATGCCCCCCTCAGCTCAGTCCTGTTCAAGGGAGGGGAGGGCTGCTGTAGCACCCCCCGGCTTCTAGCCTGAGCCACTGCAGGCATTTGCCTGCATTTCTGGGATGTCCGTCTGGTTACAAAACTGATTTAGCCTAGCCAGGTTAGACTAACCTGCAAAGATTGAATCAATTCAGGCTCAGGTTTTTGAATGTCTGTCCCTAGCCTACAACACAGCATTGCCACCAAAGGATAGATGGGGATGTCCTCTTGAGGTGTTTAAAATTTAGACTAGGCAAAATAGTAATTAGGGTGGCATGTTTAAAAGGCTTGGTGTTTACCCTTCTGGGAGCTGTACCAAATTTTTCAATAGGAAAAATATCTGTTCCAAAGCTTTGATAAATGCCCCATAAAAATGCTATATAGAAAAGAATCATTTTTTGGAGGAAGAAAGGACCATATCTAACACAAATTTTTCTTCTCAAACACGGACGATCCTGTGCATGCCCTGACAAGTAGCACCTGGTGGGTCTTGGGAAAGGCTTGGGAGTGGGAGACTTTCTGTTGAGTGTGGATCCATTCCAGTAGCTTTCTGCGAGGTGTGTGATCAGATCCATACTCCTGGCAGTGGTTTTGAAGCTGCCCTGCACTTTCAGATCCACTTAAAATGTTAGCAGTGGCAGCCCACAGTAATAGTATCAAAAGTAGCTACGCAGAGAAGGCATTTTCTATCCTGACAGTCAGGAGGAGGGAAAGATATGGAAGGTGTTGGCACCAGATTCACAACCCAGCCCCAATACCTTTGTCCCGGACGAGCACAACCCTCAGATCGACCACAACTCCTGCCGGTTGATAATAGGCAAGTTTATTGATACACAGTGATAGGGAATAAAAGCAATGCAGGCAAAGCAAGTACAGCATACATTACCCAAATGCCCTAGTCCCAGAATATACACAAGATGAGCAGTCCATCCAGCTGGTACGTAAACGCCACCTTGACGTCCTTTGCTTGAGTGTCCAACATCAGCAGCTTTGGAGGTTAGGGGCTGATGCCAACTGCTTTCCTCTCCTCTGTTTTGAAAACTCTTTCTTTTGTATTCTTTCTTTTCCTGGTGACTTCTGATGACTCTTGTTCCGTGGCTGTTGCTGGTTGGTCACAGTGACATGTCTCGTGTTGTCAGACAAAACCCTATTTTCACAACCCGTTGCTTTCCTGCCTGGGCTAGATACCCTGTCTGCTTCTGAAGGCTGGAAAACCTGTGTGAATTTGAAACCCGAGCTCTTTAAAAATCAATTAACCCTTGCTGCTATAACCATTATTCTAATGCATATATATATTGCTTATAAGCCAATTTGCAAACTAAACCTTTAAATACCATTTCCAAGCCAACAGAAGGCTGAAAGATAATCACATAGTTCTGATTTAGATGCTCTGCTGCTGCCTTAAATGTCATATGAGTGATATGGACTCCCTCCTCACTTCTGCCCAATTGGTATCTCGCCCTAAAGAAACCTTTTGTGACTTATTCTACCTGGACCCTTATGTAGGGTCCTGTTCAGCTGTCCCAAGGGCTGGCTTTTTTCCAGCAATATTGAGTGTTTTCTCAGTAATCTAGACAATGACACAGAGTCTTTTGTGATGACACCAAGATTGGCAAGGTAACCAATAATACCGAGGAGATGGTACTGTTACCCTGAATCCCCTGATCATAGGGCAGCAGACTGTATTTTAACAGGATGAATGCAAGGTGATGAAACTGGGCAAAAAGATGCAGATTATGTGTGCAAAATGGGAGATCGTCTTGAAGTGCAGTGATTTAGGGAAGGCTTCATGGGATTTTGTATGGAAAAATTAAATAGTTACTGGAACTGAGACAGGAACCCAGGTTTCTCACCTAATAGGTGCCTTTCCTAACCCCTAAACTATCCAGGCTTCTTCACTTGCTCTCTCCCTCACCCCATAATATTGAATTATTTCATGGAAACTGAGCAGATTGCACAGGGGATGAGAGAGACCCTCCTAAAGTATCTGGTAGCATTATGGTTAGAGCACTTTTCTGGGAGATGATGGGGCCAAGTCCTCTCAGGTGAGGGCAGAATTGGAACCCGGGTCTTCCATGGCACATGTGAGCACTCCAGCCACTAAGCTAAAAGGAGACAGAAGCCTGCTCCTCCTCCGAATTGAATGGTGTGTGAAGCACTGTGCTCTCGTAACATCAGGCAGATTGGACAAGATCGCCAGAGAATGGCTACTAAAGTGAACCACGATGAAGTTTGTCCATGAGGTAGGTACTGAACTGCTTGGCATTGTCAAGACACCAGAATTTAGATAACTAGAGAAACTGATGGGTGCAAACTAAGGTGCTACTATGATTAGTTGACTGCTGAGAAAGGAGCAGGTTTCGACCTGGAAGGGTGTGGGCAGTGGGGTCCCGCAGGGCTCGGCCCTTGGACCGATACTCTTTAATGTCTTCATCAGTGACTTGGACGAGGGAGTGAAATGTATTCTGTCCAAGTTCGCAGATGACACAAAGCTATGGGGAGATGTGGACACGCCGGAGGGCAGGGAACAGCTGCAAGCAGACCTGGACAGGTTAGACAAGTGGGCAGAAAACAACAGAATGCAGTTCAACAAGGAGAAATGCAAAGGGCTGCACCTAGGGAGGAAAAATGTCCAGCACACCTACAGCCTAGGGAATGACCTGCTGGGTGGCATGTAAGTGGAAAGGGATCTTGGAGTCCTAGTGGACTCCAAGATGAACATGAGTCGGCAGTGTGACGAAGCCATCAGAAAAGCTAACGGCACTTTATCGTGCATCAGCAGATGCATGACGAATAGATCCAAGGAGGTGATACTTCCCCTCTATCGGGCGCTGGTCAGACCGCAGTTGGAGTACTGCGTGCAATTCTGGGCGCCGCAATTCAAGAGGGATGCGGATAACTTGGAGAGGGTCCAGAGAAGGGCCACTCGTATGGTTAAGGGCCTGCAGACCAAGCCCTACGAGGAGAGACTAGAGAAACTGGACCTTTTCAGCCTCCGCAAGAGAAGGTTGAGAGGCAACCTTGTGGCTGCCTATAAGTTCATCATGAGGGCCCAGAAGGGAATTGGTGAGTATTTATTCACCAAGGCGCCCCCAGGGGTTACAAGAAATAATGACCACAAGCTAGCAGAGAGCAGATTTAGATTGGACATCAGGAAGAACTTCTTCTCAGTTAGAGTGGCCAGGGTCTGGAACGGGCTCCCAAGGGAGGTGGTGCTCTCCCCTACCCTGGGGGTCTTCAAGAGGAGGTTAGATAAGCATCTAGCTGGGGTTATCTAGACCCAGCAATCTTTCCTGCATATGCAGGGGGTCGGACTCGAACATCTATTGAGGTCCCTTCCGACCCTAACGTCTATGAATCTATGAGGATTGAACACTTCCTACCAGCTAGTGTTGGAAACTTAGCATGCTGGCTTGTGTGGGATACTGTTATAAGACAAGTAAATCTCCACATGTGCTGTATAGAAGCCTAGGCTCCTGTGTCTATGAATTTCACCCAGCATCGTGGCACCTAAAATTTAGGTGGATCAATGCTGACCCTTGCAATACCAAAGTGTTTTTTGTGCATCTAGCCCCCAGTGTTGACACTTCAAAAGAGGGGTACAAAAATCATTCAGTGACTGGAAAACAAGCTTTTGGATATGAACCTTAAGGAGATCAATCTATCCATCTTATCAAAGGAAAGGTTGAGAGGTGATGTGATGGCTATGTATAGATACTGACACATGGGCAGGTTATCTGATACTGGGAGGCTTTTCATTCTTGCTGATGAGAGCTGGAATTTGAAGTTTGAGAAATTCAACCCTGAAATAAAATGCAGTTTCGTAGCAGTGGGGGGTGGATTGAACACTGGAAGAGCTTACCAGATTGTTGGATTAACTATTGCTTAGAGTTGTTAAAATGAGATTAAAGATCTTTCTAAAAATATGCTTTCATCCACCTTCTGGGAGAAATTCTACAGCCTGCATATCCAGGGGGTTGAGCTTAGAGGGCTGTTGGGATCCCATCTGGCCCTAGAAGTCATGAATTCATCTCTTCATTTTCTTCTTTCATGGGCAATGGGGAGGACGGGAAACTCTGCACTGCCTTTGCCATGTTAATAACCCTTGCAGTATTCCATTAAGACAGCGACTATAATCAGATCTGAAGCTTCAGGTCTTCTGCTAGTTACCTACCTGCAAAAGTCAGAAAGGGTGTTTTTCCTCCATGCACAATTGACCAGGTTTAGTCCGTCCTGTAAGGTAGTACAAACAATCATCTTTCCTAGTGCTGGTTACTGTGCCCTGCATTATGCTTAGGGTCAATCTTATTGCCCGATTTGGATTGGAAAGACATTTTCTCCTAGGACAGCTTAGCTCATCTTCCTCCACAGTATGCACTATGGATCACCTGTTAGTAAAATCCAAACACACATTACCTAATCAGCTCCCTCGAGATCATCTTTTATATCGTAGGTTCAATAAAGCTGTTGTCATGCTTGGCTTCTCATGTACATCATGAGATGTACATGAACATCAAATACCTAAGCATGTGAAGCAGTTAGGCTGTTGAGATCTTAGACCTGTATTTAAGGTCATGCCAGGGAATTTCCCTCTACTGATCCAAAGCATATGATCCCCCGCTTCTCTATCTACAGTATCTTGTGCATACACAGGAGAGGCAAATAGTAGGCAGCTGGGATGCAGACAAGGCTGAGTTAAATTGGTGTAATTTATACCAATTTTGTGCACAGATATGTAACCCTAGCCATGATGCTACCTATGGCCATGTCTGAATTCAGGGTCCTGGGGTGTCAAATAGCCTTGGTCAATGTCCCAGCCTCTAAGGCTGGGGCCACCTCTCCATGAAGTGCCTCCTTGTGGTTTCCCGACACACTGGAGTACATACAGTCTAGCTATTTACACAGTTAATTATTTACAAAACAGTCAACATATGAACGAGGCTAATAGCAGAACAGGATATCACTAATTTAATTGGCAATGAACTAAAACACTCTGTACAAATTGAATCAAAGACACCCTCAGTACAACTCCCCAGCTTAAACCTTGAGACTCCAGTGAATTTTAGCAGAAGCACACAGAGTTAACACAAACATCAGCACTCCTTCACACTGGCAGCACAATACCCATGGCAGGTACTGCTGCTTTGGGAAGTCCTGTTCTCTGCTAGAGCCTCATGGGGAAGAGCAGCTCTCCTCTGCTCCAGCTGTCTGTGGTATCTGCAAAGAAACACACACTGTCCCCTTTCCCCAGAAGCACCTTTCTCCAATCCTCAGACATGGTCCCTTGAGCTGATAACTGAAACAACCCTGGGTTTATCACCCACCTGGCCCCAGGATGGCTCTCAGTTAACTCTTCCCAGAGCCTTCCCAGATCAACACCAACATCGATACGGTATCCCACCCCATACTGGTGAACAGGCCTTTCATACGGTATCCCACCCCATACACAGTCCGGTGGGTGGCGAATTGGCTGGAGGGTCGCACCCAGAGAGTCATGGTGGATGGGTTGGCTTCGACCTGGAAGGGTGTGGGCAGTGGGGTCCCGCAGGGCTCGGTCCTTGGACCGATACTCTTTAATGTCTTCATCAGCGACTTGGACGAGGGAGTGAAATGTACTCTGTCCAAGTTTGCAGATGACACAAAGCTATGGGGAGAAGTGGATACGCCGGAGGGCAGGGAACAGCTGCAAGCAGACCTGGACAGGTTGGACAAGTGGGCAGAAAACAACAGAATGCAATTCAACAAGGAGAAATGCAAAGTGCTGCACCTAGGGAGGAAAAATGTCCAGCACACCTACAGCCTAGGAAATGACCTGCTGGGTGACACGGAAGTGGAAAGGGATCTTGGAGTCCTAGCAGAGACACCAAGATGAACATGAGTTGGCAGTGTGACGAAGCCATCAAAAAAGCCAATGGCACTTTATCGTGCATCA